GAAAATCTTTAAAAATAAAACTGACATTTGAAACATGTGATTATAAGAATGTTATTATTTGGGGTGAGGCTAAATTATGTAGCACTGTTTAAATGGAAAAATAAGTTAATAGAAATTTTTAAAAAGATTAAGTAAACAGTAGTAAAGTTGGGTTGAAAGTATGACCAAAATTGTAAAACCCAGAAAAATAACCAGCGTTTACTGGGTGCTGCTATATGTTGCTCACCCTCACGTGCATGAGCTCACTTCATCATCATAGCAACCCTACGAGCTATCCCATTTCACAGATGAGGAAGTTGAGGCTCACAGAGGACAAATATCTTACCCACAGGTGCATAACTAGGATCTGAATCCCGGGCCATTAGGCACTTGAGCCCAAGAACTTCTATTCTGTAATCTTCTTTCAGTTGAATTGATGTAAGGTCTTTTAAGAAACATTTATTGGGCACCTACTGTGTGCCAGACTGCTGAAGATACAGCAGTGAGTAAAAGCCAACTCCAGCTCCACAGAGCCCAACCAGGTTGAAGAGCAAACTTTCAGAGGAATCATTAGGACTCGGGTGCAGGGTTTGGGTCGTGATGTTATTGCCTGTGTATATTATAAAAGTAAGGCGTGCCCAACCTATTTTTAAAACGATACATCAATATGCTATATAGGACTATAAAATGTCAAAGGAAAATTTTCCCTTCCTACAGCTCATACCCCAGGCACACTCCGCAAGGTTAATGATACCTTGCCAGTCCTTCTAGGTGTCTTCCATGGACGCATAATACAATGCTGTCTTTAAGGGTTCCCGTGATTGGTTGAAGGAAGACATTGTGGTTTGACCGGGGGCCCAGACATGGTAACATTGGCTGTTCTCAAGTGCCCGTGAGTGAACTTCAACCATAGAGATGACCTTGGTTTAGTGGAGGATTAGCTTTGGTCAGGCATTGGCTGAACCACCTGGTGTCTCATTTCTGGGAGTCTGAACTGAAGGGAATGCTAGTCCATATCTCAGCTGCTCTAACAGCCCCGCCCCCGCTGACTTAGGGGTCTCCTCCAGGTGCCCCTTACTCTTTTGAGCTTCTCTCTCTGACAGCAGCTGCCATCTCTTTTTGTTTAATCGTCCATTTACATTTGTTTACTTAAAGCACTGAGACCACAGTCTCTGGAGGGCAGGAATGGCGTCTGATTTGCCTTCTGGCCCCACTGCTGGGTGCGTTGTCTGGCATGCAGTAAACACTTGCTGAATGTTTTCTGAATAAAAGCTCGAGCGCCTGCCAAGGTGCATCTGCATTGTTGTAGCCACCCAGCGACCCAGCAAGTCCCTTTCTACAGGCTGGCTTCCTGGATTGCAGGTATGGGAGGAAAACAGTTCTTCACCCCGATGAAGGCTGTTATTGAATTATAAAGACAAAAATCTTTCAACCTCAAGAGGTTGGAACCCTAGGAACCTTCGGAACCTTCTAAGCCAGGTCCCTGTCGACCCACCCATTCAAAGAGATCAAAGCCCCAATTCCTCATTAGTGGTGATTACTGTCACTAAGGCATAGTCATTCATTCATTTGTTCCTTGGAAAGGTGACACATTAAAATGCCTTCCTGAATGTCAGGCAGGTACCATGTGTAGAACAGTAGGGAGTGGTAAGGATTGTGGCTAACTGGGCAGCATATTTCTTATCTAAGGGGGCAGCTTCTGCTCAACGCCATGTGAGTTGAGTGCTTGGGCTCCCGGTCACAATCATTGCCATGTAGTTATGTGAGCCCAGTATTATCTTATCTTCCAATGTTTCAGAAGAAGCCAGAAATTCAGATTATTACATGAAATACCCTGATTTGCACAAGCTAAGCAGAGCCCATGTGTAGGTCAAATTCACAGAGAAATAGGGTCTAGTTGGGACTTCTGTTATATACTATGTGCCATCCACAATTTCCATGGGGCGAGGGGTTATATCTGTTTTATTCACCTCTGTGTCCTCAGTGCTGCTTATGTGTTGGCACATAATAGGTGTTCAATAAACATTCATTGACCCAATGAATGAATGAATGCTTCCTGTGATGCAGGCAAGGTGCTAGGCACTGGAATTCCTGGCATGAACGTAAGATGAGTTTCCAGCCTGGGAGTGAGTGGGCAAGGTGAGAATCAAACAGTGCCATAAAAGATTCTGAGGCTGTGTTGGAGGTCTGTGAAGGTTATAGAACAGGGTTCCAAGAACAGGGCAATTCATGCTGCTGGGGACAGATCTGGCTCCTTGGGGGAATTCTTGAGATCTGCCTTGTAAAATAAGGTGCTTGAAACAACCCATATTTATTATCTTACAGTTTCTATGGGTCTGGAATCTGGGAACAGCTTAACTGGGTCCTTTGGTTCAGGATCTCTCATAAGAGAGACCTGAGTCTCATCTGAGGCTGGAGATCTCATCTGAAGGCTCAATCAGGGGAAGGATCCACTTCCAAGCTTTGGAGCTCCTACTCCAAAGACAGTGGAGAGTCTGCTAGCAAGACAGAACTACAGTCTTATATAACATCCTCATGGAAGTGACAGCCCTTTGTCTTTGCTGTATTGATACTTTATTGGTTGGAAGTGAGTCACAGGTCCTGCTACAAAGAGCTGCAAAGAGTGTTAATACCAGCAGGTGAAGATTATTAAGGGCTTTTTTAGCCTTTCCACTGCACTCTCCTTTATTTTTTTTTAATTGGAGTACAATTGCTTTATAACGTTGTGCCAGTTTCTGCTGTACAATGAAGCGAATCAGCTACATGTATACGCATATCCCCTCCCGCTTGGACCTCCCTCCCACCCCCCTCCCCATCCCTCCCCTCTAGGTCATCACTGAGCACCAAGCTGAGCTCCCTGTGCTATACAGCAGGTTCCCACTAGCTAGCTATTTTACACATGGTAGTGTATTTATGTCACTCTCCTTTAGATAGGAAGGGGAAGGGCATCTCAGACAGAGGGAACAGCGTAGGCAAAGCACAAAAGGGTGAAACAGAGTAACCCATCTGGCAAAATGTGACTAGTTTGATGTAAACTAAGGAACCATTTGAGAGGGAGGCAGGAAGCAGATGGACAAAGCCCTAATAGCCCAATCTGGAGACCCTGCCTCTTCTCCAAGTGCAGTGGAATCACCAGGTGTGAAATAATAAAAGACCCACCTGCTCCACGTTCTAAACCAAGGGCCTGCAGAGTCAGGATGATGGCAAGCTGGGGGATTACACTAGTAAATTGTAAAAATCACTCCGATATTATAGGAATCCTTCAGGTAAAAGAGGCAGCATGTCATCTCTTCCGAGTTTCACTAATCAACTGAGTATTGGAAGCTGTGGACAGAAGCTTGTTTCTCTGAAACATGTATGGCAGGTGCAGCTGTGATATGTAAAGACTTGGGTCTTTGTACAGCAAAGCAAGATCCAGAAGGAGCAAAATGTTTTAGGATTTGGCATAGAAAACCCCTTGTTCTCTGTTTGTGGGAATGTAAAATGGTGCTGCCACTGTAGAAGACGGGATGGTGGTTCCTCAGAAAGTTACATGTAGGATTACTGTATGGTCCAGAAATCCCACTTCTGGGTATCTACCCACAGAATTGAAGGCAGGGTCTCAAAGAGGTATTTGCACACCCATGTTCATAGCAGCTTTATTCACTATAGCCGAAAGGGGAAGCCATTCAAGTGTCCATTGACAGATGGATGAATAAACAAAATGTTTGTCCAGCCATACAATGGAATATGATTTAGCCTTAAAAAGGAAGGAAATTCGAACACAAGCTACAACATGGATGACCCTTGAGGATATTATGCTCAGTGTAATAAGCCAGTCGCAAAAAGACAAATACTGGATGATTCCACTTGTATGTGGTCCCTAGAGTAGTCAAAGTCATAGAGACAGAAAGTGGAATGGTGGTTGCCAAGGGTTGGTTGGGAGGGGAGATGGGAAGTTAGTGTTTAATGGGGACAGAGTTTCCATTTGGGAAGATAAAGAGTTCTGGAGGTTGATTGTACAGCAATGGGAATGTATTTGACACTGCTGAACTGTATACTTGAAATGGTTAAGATGGTAAATTTTATATTATGTAGATTTTACCCAATTTAAATTTTTCAATAGTAAGACTTTTTAATGTTTCAGGATGTGTAGTCTTGTGTGCACAGCAGTTTTTGCTGGCTTTCCAGTCCATCCAGGTGCTGAAAAGGAACTAGATCACACGCTGGCCCTGGAATGGGTCAAACTGTCAGGTTCAACTCTCCAATAAGTCTTAAGCTAGCAGGTGTCATTTATGATGCTCCTACTGTATATGTTAGGGTCATTTGTGTTCCTACTGTATACCAGGCCCTGAGCTTCCAGCATGCCTGAACAGGCTCATCTCCAGTGAGGGAGACTGTTAGTAAATAATTAAATACAGTACAGTGTATGCAATGCTGTGGTGGAGGAAGAGCCGGAGAGATTAGTGACTCAATTAGGGGTAGGGGGCATCACGGAAGGCTTCCTGAAGGAGGAGATATGAGGACTGAGTATTGAAAAACAAGACTTATCCCGGCTGTGTGGGCAGGTGAGGTATAAGGTGAGAAGCAGGAGGAATATTTCATAATTTAGCGACACCACCGTCCATTATTTACTGAGTACTTACATTTCAAGGGCGTGCTAAAGCATTTGCACGTTATCTTGTTTAATCTTCCAAGTCCCTGTGAGGTAGGTACTGCTATTATTGCCATTTTACTGATGAGGAAACTGAAGCTCAGAGAGGTTGTGGCCCTTGCTGGAGGTCACACAGCTAGTAAGTAGCAGAACCCAGATTTTTAACCCAGATTCCACAGCTCAGTATATCCTACTGTGCCCATGTGTAACCCATGCCCAGAGGTGGGAGAGGGAAAGGGGAGTTTGAGGAGTGGGCAACAGTTCAGTTCAAGGTGGGGATGCAGAGAAATGATGCTGGAGAGACTGGCCTCGGATCACACAGGCTCTGAGTAGGAGTCCCCAGAGATTTACATCGTCTCATCAGAGCTCCTTTTGGCTTGCATTTCAGCGGAGGAGTCCCTGGCATGTGACAACCCAGGGTTACCTGAAAATGGGTACCAAATCCTGTACAAACGACTCTACCTGCCAGGAGAGTCCCTCACCTTCATGTGCTATGAGGGCTTCGAGCTCATGGGCGAAGTGACCATTCGATGCATCCTGGGACAGCCATCCCACTGGAATGGGCCACTGCCCGTCTGTAAAGGTAAAGAAACCACCGCCTCCCCACCCCCGGAGTCCCGGGGAATGAGGGACCCAGAGATGTAAAGACTGACTTGCAGCGATTCTAAACTTGCTCTAAAAAGCCAGGCTACTGTGTTTCACTAAATCTAAGACACCACCGTTATTTTCTGCACTGCTGAGGAAGGACATGGCTTCCAATTAAACTATGACACGGTGCCTTCTCCTTGCTTAGCATTTTTGTTTTTACTTACTAAAAGAGCTTAGGTTTTTATCATAAAGGAGAGGCAGCCTGCTTTTGACTCCTGCTTGGACAGCGTGGCTGAAACGTTTCCCGCCTCCTGCACCCCCTTCTCAAAACCACTTGGTTCCGAAGGGTGATGGGTGTTCCCCTGTCGCCTCTGGGCGTTCTCCCAAGATGCTCACACCTATCCTCCAGGTACTGATGGTCCTGGGCTGATGATTGCACAAGCACAGGCATCTTGAGCGCCACCTGGTGGCAGCGATTGTAATACCCCAGTGATTGTAAGACACCCCCCATCTCAGAGATGGTGAAAACGGGGGGAAGTGTATTTTAGAATCAGTGAACCACTCATCGTTGAAATTGGGTTAGGGCACACCTAGTGAGATTTGGATCCATTTATCCGTGTCTTTGAGGTGTGAAATTCATAATCATATCCTAAGTACGTTCAACGCTTTAGGCAAGTGGATTTAACCTTTTATGGTGTTAGTACCCTTTTGAGAATCAGGCAGAAAGCTCTGAATTCTCTCCCCCGGGGGAACTGAAACATGCAGTTTTACATTTCTACTTGGGAACCCGTAACTTCAGCGGATCCCCAAATGCTCGTTCATGAAGTCCAGCGTTAAGGCTTAAAAATACTTTCCCGGCCAGAATTTCTACTCCTGGGTATAGGCACAAAGCAATTGAAAACAGGTATTCAAACCAACACTTGTACAAATGATCGTAGCAGCATTATTCACAAAAGATGGAAACAACCCAAATGTCCATCAGCTGGTGAATGGATAAGCAGAATGTGGCATGTTCATATAAGGGAATATTGTTCAGCCATAAAAAGGAATGCTATAACATGGATGGACCTTGAAAAGGTGATGCTCAGTGAGAAGAAGCCAGACACAAAAGGTCACGTATTGTATGATTCAGTTCGAATGAAATGTCCAGAAAAGGTAAATCCGTAGGGATGGAACTCAGATTAGAGCTCCCCAGGGGCTGGTGGGGAGGGAAGAGTAACTGCTTACTTGGTACCGAATCTCCTTTTGAGATGATGAAAACGTTTTAGAACTAGATAGAGGGGATGCTTGCACAACATTGTGAACGTACTAAACACCCCTGAATTGGGCACTGAATTAAAATGGTTAATTTTATGTCATGTGAATTGTACCTATAAAAAAAGATTTTCCCTGCATCACCCCATTGAAGCCTCATGACCATACTCTGAGAGAGGTGAGCCGTCATACCCATTTCACAAATGTGGACAGAGAAGCTCACAGAGGTTAAGTGACTTACCCCAAACCACACAACTGGTATAAGACAAATTTAGGATTTGAACCCACTTCTGCTAATTATAAATTCCCTGCCCTTGAAACCCCACCGGGTGAGGCAGTGCTGGCCCCTCAGGTACGACAGACCGTCTAGCAGGAAAGACATTGTCTTGGGAGACCATTGCCCTTTTCTCTCCTCTCCACTTCCACTCCTGTGACCCACCCTGCCAACTCTGTCATGAAATAATAAATCACTTCCTCTTCCCCAAAAAAGTGGGGTCCATCGTTTGTGGTCTGGAGTTGGAGAAATGACAGAGCACCAGTGTGAGACCACCCCCTGGGACTCAGGGGCCCTGGGTTCCCAAGGACGCTGCCCTGGCAGGTCCAGGAAAGGGCCCAGGAAGCTGCCTCTTAGCACGTGCCCCCAGGGCCCACTGATCACACTCAGAGGTTCAACATTTCCTTCCATTTCTAAGATTTCATGGAAGCTCATGCCCTCCCAGACACGCAATCAAGGTCCCATTCATGTCTTGGGTAGGAAGCATCTGCCTTAATCTTTCCATTTTCCTAATGCCCTGGCTCCAGAGATGTCTGCAGTCAGTTAGTTAGCTTTTTTGTCGGCTGGTTTTGTTATCATCACATGATAACGATGAAAGTCAGAGAGTCACTTTGACCAAAGCTCTAACTAGGAAATCTCCGTATTATGTAGGACACCGCTATTGCTGGGCCTTTGGGGGCCAGCTCCTCCCACGACCTTATCATGCAATCTTTCCATCGAAGCCCTTCACTCTGGGGGTTTTGCATCCCTGAACCCCGTCCCTGTGGGTATATTTTTGTGCTCAGCTATCATGATGACTTGGATGCCAAAGCGTGAAGACACCAGCCCCCATCATCCTGAACTTCCAGAGGAGTTGTACAGGGAACCCAGGGGAGTAAACCAACTCCAGAGAGTTCCAGTCTATGGCAATGAAGGAATGAAAATATGGAATAAAAATCCTATATTCCAAATCAATATGGAATAAAAGTGAAATTAGAAAGGTTCATATAAATGTATATTTCAAAGCAGGAAAACAATTTCACCTCTGGCTGGGCTCAGGATTTTGGATTTGGGATTTTGTCTTGCCCCTCACCATTCATCAGCCTTGGTCCGACACAAAAACACTGAAGAGACCAGGACTATGTAGTTCAGAGCAAAGGCCCAAGAAAGCCAAGCAAGCTTAAATCCTGCCTCCATCACTTAGGAGCTGTGTGGTGTCAGAGAAATCACTTCGCTTCTCTGAACCTCTGTTTGCTTATCTATTAAATGGGGATGAGAATAGTATCTACCTAATGAGATTGTTGTGAGTGTTTAGTGGGCAAATATATATAAAGCTCTTGATGCCCAGTATCTGACATATGGTGAGTATTCAGTCATTATTGTCCTTTTCCTTTCATATCTGTCTCATCTTCTCTCAGGAACTTAGGAAGGGAATGAGGCATTTCCACTAATTCCGGTAGCCTAAGATTTAAAAAAATAAACAAAACCACAGCACTACAGCAAAGCATGGAATGGACTTTTGCACCTAATTGGTGGGGGGGGATGCTTCATGCAAACAGAGTGAATTCACTTGACATTGATCAATGCTCCAATTTCTCTTTCAGTTAATCAAGACAGCTTCGAACACGCTTTAGAAGGTGAGTCCCACGAAGAAAAAAATCCCATAAACCGAGCTAATGGCAGAAAGCAAGGGAAGGTCCTTGGAGATCCTTATCGAGGCGTTAACAGAAAGTTAAGCAGAAGTGCTGCCTTCACACTGCTGAGGATAATTTCAAAACAAATGACATTGTAAAGAAAAAAAAAATCATTGAATTTGTAACTTATAGTCCTAACTATGACCTAAAAGAGATTTGACGCCCGTTCTGTTCATGATGACGAGGTAAAAACATCTGGGAGTTCACGTGCCTGAGAAACACATACCCTCTTGTAAAACTTTGCAGCCATGTGGTGCTATTTGGGGGAGCTAAATCCAGAGATGCCTCACCCTTCATGCTGAGCAAGCTCCTAGTTTTGGGAGGGAAAGGTCTTCCCCAGGGGATGCTCTGTGGTCTGTTTTCCCCTCCGTCTTTTTCTTCCCCAAAATAGCTGTCCCTGGATCCCCCTTGTTTTCTGTTCTTGTTAGAAATTACCAAGTGAGATTTATTAATGTGGAACAGATGCTAAAAGTGATCCAGGATTTTGTTTTATCTTCCCTTTTCAATGCATCCCACACGTAAAACGTTCTGCATTCTGTATAACCTTCGTTCAGTTTGGTACAAAACCACTCACTGGGCTGTCGTGTCAGGAAAAAAATAACATATTTTGTTTAAAAAAAAAGTTTTAACCAATTGGACAGTTTTTTAAATTACTTTTGGAGCCACTTATCTTTCTGACAATAAATTGTTCACTCAGAATCTGGGGCAGTGGAAATTACATGTCATTAGTTGCTCTCTTCTGCAACAGATGACATTTTAATCCAAGCAGACAGAGCTGGAGCTCAAATACATGTGTAGGCTGTGGGGAGCATGTATCGGTCACTCCGCTAGAAGAAGAAGGGCATTTGTGGTGTTAGGCTCTATGCAGGCCCTTCCTTCGCTGTCTTGCACCGGCCAATGGACCATGAGAACATCTCAAAGGCCTGGGTTGCTCAGCGGGTGTGATGCCATCGTAAGGTTCTGGGCTCACACATTTATCATGGGTATTAAGACTGATTTTTCAGACCCAAGGAGTGGTGGCTAACGGATTGCAGATTTGCTTAACGCCGAGCTCTGTTAGACGTGGCTGTGGAGAACGGCAGAGTGTGTCCAGAAGGGATGTGGAGTCTGCCTTCAAGCCTTTCTCGGAAAACGCCCCCTTCCCCGCCTCCACCTCCACAATAATCATCATAGTTCTTGTGATTTCCTCTAACCACTGGGAGGTAGCGGGAGGCCCCAGGTGAGGCCGAGAGGGTTGCCTGAGAGTGTGCAGCCGTGGCCTCTGAGGGTGAAAACTGTGTCTTCATGGTTAGGGTGTCATGGGGTGTGCAGTTGGGGTGCCATGAGGTGTGCAGGTACCGAGCACTGACCCAGCTGCTCAGCACCCTCTGCTGGAGGGTCTGATTGAGCAGGTCTGGGAGGGACCTGCCAGTCTAGACACAACTCTGTCTTCTCCATGGACTGTCAAGCAGATCTGCCTTTCCAGTTAGCACGTTGGGGATTTTCTCCAGGTCTTCCCTGGAATTGGATTTTAACCAGATTTCAACTGATGACCACCCCATCCAAGAATAGGTCTGGGGCTCTGTTGCCAAGAACCAGCACCATTTCCTTTACTCTTTGCCTCTTCTCCCTTCTGGAGATGGTTCTCCAGTGGCTGGCCCTGTGACATTAGGTCTTGGAGTGGGTGCAGGGCTGGGAGGGCGGGTACTCCCCTGGGAGCCAGGGGCCTTCACCGGCTTGTGCACTTAGTAGCAGAAGCGGCAGCCGAGACGTCTCTGGAAGGGGGAAACGTGGCACTGGCTATCTTCATCCCGGCCCTCCTCATCTCCTTGCTGCTGGGAGGAGCCTACATTTACATCACCAGGTACGGGGCTTCGGGTGGGAGTGGGGCTCTCACCCACTCGGCGACCAGCGTGCTGAGGGGCTGGGCTCGTCATGGACCCTGAGCCTCAAGGTCTCCACTCTTGGGGACAGTGGCATTTGTGTGATTGAAGGGATGGTGTGATTCAGTTCAACTCTGAGAAGTATTTAGATCGTGCGCCTGCCAACCCTTCATGGTAGGAGGGCTGAGCATGCAGCAGCAAATCAGAAGACACTCTCCTGACCCCACAGAGCTAATGTTTAACGGGAGAGAGAGACACTTCCTATTGCCAGGCACACTGACTCATTCTCTCCTTCATTCACTCATTCATTCCCTCACTTACTCAACATGTATGTATTGACAGTCTAATGTCATTGTCCCAGGTGTCGGGGATCATAGAACGTGCCTTTAACAAGGAAGGAAGATATTCATCTATGGCTAGCATATTCACTAATTCGTTCAATTTCACAATTATTGAGCACCGACTCTGTACCAGGCCATTTTCTGGGCTCTAAGACCATTGTGAACAAAACAAAAAGAAATCGTTGACATGTGGGGCACAGGTTCTAATGGGGGAAGAGAGACAATAAGTAAAGTATAATATAAAAGTAAGTAGTACATTAGAAGGTGAAAAATGCAGGGAGAAAAAGAAAACTTAGAAGAGAGAAAAAGGGAGCTGGGGTGAGGCAGTGGTTGCATTTTAAGTGGGGGAGGGGTGGAGGAGGCCCCAGTGAGAAATCACATTTGAGTAAGAGCTTGAAAGCAACAATGAGTAAACTATGCAGATATCTGGAAGAGGAGGATTCCAGGCAGAGAAGCAGCCATGTGCAAAGGCCCTGAGGCAGGCATTTGCCTACTTTAAATGGTCCCTGTGGAGCTCACAGTCTGGAAGGGGGAAGAGGAGAAATACACACGTTATCACACACTATAATAAACACAATAAAGGAAAGAGACAGGGTGTGGGAACAGAGACCAGATCTAAATAGGTGGTCAGGGAAGGCTGCTCTGAGGCAACACAGTATATACTTAATAAATGCTCATTATTATTGCCCTTGCCCTTTGCATTAAAGAGGGACTTGTATCATCTTACAGGAGAAAACACATTAAGCTCCAGTAAGGGGAGGTCCGGGGTTTTAAGGATCACCGACTGGGTTAGAAGTTGAGAGCGATTATGATTTCAGCTTTAACCCCACTCGGATTCTCACTTACAAGAGGCCGTCTCCACACATCCTCCTTGTTATCCATGGAGGTGCCCATGCTCAGGAAGTGGCACCCACCATTCCCCTGAGGGACTGTAAGGTGTCTCCTCGTCCAGGAAAAGTAACTTCTCTTCCCTTCACCGTCTCTTCTCCAGATGCCGCTATTACTCCAACCTCCGCCTGCCCCTGATGTACTCCCACCCCTACAGCCAGATCACCGTGGAAACCGAGTTTGACAACCCCATTTATGAGACAGGGGTGAGTGGGTCTCTCTTCTCTCCCTGGTGCCTCCCTCTTTGCTCTGAATCCATCGACATCAAAACGGGAGGTTCAATTTCCTTTTGCTCGCGATGCTGCTGGCAGAAAGGCATGGCCAGTGGTCCTCCTGTCTCATCCCCGCCAAGACCCCTATTGAGGTAACTGCTGGAGAACTCAGCTCGTTCTAGGAATTGATGACAAGCCTGTAACTTTTTGTTCTTAGCAGAATGGCCGCAGAAAGAAGGGGCTGCACCAGAGACCCATGGAGAGACAGCGAAAATGGGTCCGAGCCCAGCGGTGGCCTGGTGGCAGTGGGCAGCATTCCCAACATCTTATTAGACTACATTCCTTATTGAATGGCAGTGTGCACCATCCCCACACATTTGAGCAGCAGCCTTGTGTTGGTACTAGGGACACAGCTGAACCAAATAGACACAGTCCTTCCGTTAATGAGCTTATAAGCTCACAAAGGAGACAGATATCAATAATAGTAGTAGTAGTAGTAGTAGTAATGGTAATAGTAATATTATGGGCCAGGCGCCTTAAATGCATAATCCCCTTCAATCCTTGTAACTCTTTGTGATGGATTCTCTAGTTATTTCTGATTGGCTGATGAGGACATTGAGGTTCAGGGAGAGGAAAACGATTTGGTCAAGATTGCACACAGCCAGAACACACAGCCTGCAGCCAGGATGCAAACTCTGTTAGCCTCTCTTGCCTCTCCTTGAACCTCAAACAATCAAATATGCCAGTGAATATCTTGATTGCAACAAACCGTAATTTTTAAGGGCCATGAAAGAAATTGGACAGGGTGCTATGAGTGTGTGATGGGATGGGAGAAGGCCATCTCATCTCATCTTCGAGAAAGCTGAGTCATATCAGGTGGCTGAAAAAGATGCCAGGAAGACAGGAGAGCAGGTGCAAAGGCCCAGAGGCATGTGTGAAGAACAAGAAGGCTGGTCATGCGTTTGCAAAACCACAACCTTCAAATTCACTGTGTGACGATGAACAATCATCTCCCAATATTGGGGGCATAAACTTGTTCCGTGTCCGTGCTAACCTTGCAGCACTCCTGCTTCCTCTGACCTCCTGTTATCAATTGATGTGTAATGATATTTTTGCAAATTTAGGAGCCTAAAGGACACACATTTATTACCCCATAGATTCTGTAGGTCAGGAGTCCAGGCACAGCTAATGTAGGTCCTCTGCTCCAGGACTCACAGGCTACAATCAAGGTGTCAGTCAAGGCTGCAGTCTCATCTGCGGCTTGACTGGGGAAGGATCCACTTCCAAGCTCACATGACTGTTGACAGCATCCAGTTTCTTGCAGGTCGTTGGACTAAGGGGCTCAGTTTCTTGCATGCTGTCAACCTCAGCTCCTTTGTATGTGTCCCTCTCCATAGAACAACTCACAACATGGCAGCTTGCTTTTTCAGAGTCAGCGAGAGAGAGAGAGAGAGGTCACAATCCTACAAAATATAAACACGGAAGTGACATCCTAGCACCTTTGCTGTATTCTGTTGCTTAGAAGCAAATAATAGGTTCTGCATACAGTTAAGGGGAAGGGATCGTACAAGGAATGTGAATACCAGGAGGTTGGGGACCATGAGGACCACCTTGGAGCCTGCCCCCCAAACTTGCATCTACCATGAAGCACAGACAGAATTGCTTATCTGTGTTGACCCAGTGGGAACTGTAGACCTCCATTAAAGCATGTGACAGTGACATGGGGCCGAGCCTATGACTTCTTATATCTCCCTACTCCTCTGCCCTGGGGGCCTGGAGTATATTACACACACTCCACGAGTATTGGAGAAATTGAACTGGTTGCTGCCTACGTGTTGTGGTCATTTTAGATATGGCACTGGTAAGACAAGGTCATATGTTATTTTACATTGTGTATAGCTTGTTTCTGAATCCTCAGAGAAGGTCAAGCTGATGAAAAATAGCCCTTTAGAAACTAGACCTTATTAAGACTTATTCGTGTATGTATCAGTCACCTAGCACTATGATAATGCTGAGTAACAATCCCAAAACTCAGTCGCTCAAAGTAACAAGCGTTAATTTGCTCATCAGTCCATGGGACAGTGTTTTCAGCTAGTTTCAGCTGGGTGGTAGTCCTGGTTTGGCAGTGCTCACTCACACATCTGTGGTTGGCTGATGACTCAGGTCTGCTGTCCATGACTCTCATCTTCTTGCCGGCACTAAAGGCCATCAAGGCATGCTCTACTCGTGGTGAAGGCAGAAAGGCAGGACGCCAGCAGCAGAAACACACAGGCACTTTTCAGGCCCCTCTTATGACCCACTTTCCCATAACCCATTGGTAAAAGCAAGTCAAGTTTAGAGTAAAGAGCACTGCAAAGTCCTATGTCCAATATCTTGGATACAGAGAAGGGTGAAGATCCAGAACGATTCATGAGTCACTCTGCCACACAAGGGGTCAACAGAACTGTGCTTCTCTCTCACACAGGAAACCAGAGAGTATGAAGTTTCCATCTAGAGAGAGCTCCACGTGAGAAGGGAACTTACAGATACAAACTCAACTACAGCCTCCTCGAGAAATTCATCCAGAGACCATGTGGCATTTGATGGAAAGCCCAGAGTGTCGGCTGTCTTTTCTTTAGACTCTTTACTGAAGACTTTCTGTTTTCTTCACTGTATTTATTATATTTAAAATCGAAATAGGTGTGGTTGGATGTATTGCAGCTGCAGCCAAATTTGTGGTACAGCCTCAATCCTGAAGGCAGGTGGAGGACCTGTAAAATAGCAAACACAGCAGTAGAGGGAAAAGGAAAAAAACAAAACAGCAACAGGCTGTTTCTCCTATCAGCAATGCCGTGCTACGGCTGCATCAACTTGCATGCATCTTCAGGATCCATGCCCATGGTGTTTTTCGTACAAATCTAAGTCCCAAGGTTAGGTTGGAAAAGGGCATTTCTTGTTGGATTAACTTGGGTTGAAATTTAGCACAGAGACTTAAACAGCACTACTCCAAAACCAGTCTGTTTTCTCCCTTCCAATTTCCTCAGCTGCTAAAAGAAGCTGCCCCGTCCCCTCCCTCCCATGGCCCCTCTGAAGGCAGCAAAGGTGTTACACAAACATTCTCTTTCACCACCCTGGCCTCGCTGGATGCTGGCAAACTAAGAAAATGTTTTCTTTCTATAAAGGTGACAGGTGACAAAGGAAAGTTTTCAGAGAAGATGAGAGATCTGAGAGTTCCAGTGAAGAAGTGGATGAGGGGCAAAGCTGGCTAAGGGAATCGAGAGAATAAAATGATACTCTTTCACCGATGAAAGAGCAGGTAATTTATGCTCCAAGGGCCAGAATCGATCACCTTGTTCAACAAGGCCACCCTCAAGC